GTTCAAATCCCTCAGACTCATTAAATTCGCCAGAAAGGCAACAAAAATTCAATACTCAAAATCTCTAAACCCTTATATCGCCTTTAAATACATTGAGTTACATATTGAAAACAATGAACGTAATATCCCCATACTAAAACAACCTCCAAAACTGGTTTGTCCATGAAGGCCTAATTTCTTCAAACACAAAAACCTCCTAAGTCCTTAAATCAACTTTAAATACATTCAATCATATAATGAAAACAATGAAGGCAATACTCCTCATACCTTAATTGTCGACTCTAAACCTTTCTCCTTGATTCTTAGAAACCTCGCAAAGCTTTTTCCTCAATCTTCTTCCTCAGAGCACTGACCTCTATTTCTTCCCTTTTCATGGCCTAACAAGAATGAGTCCTAATTCCCTAAAAATTCCTTTTTGTTAAACCTAACTTTGGGCCTTTAAAATGGGCTTTCCAATTTCTCCCTCACTAACTCCTCCTCAAATGTCCACTTTGCCCTTAAATTAACTTATATTTATTTAAATTAATAATAATATCAAATATATCAATATTATATACTATTATTTAAATAAATAACTCAAACCTCCATAATTCCCAATATTCACACCAACCATCAAAAATACGAATATTCATATTTAAATAAATTAAATAAATATTCCAAGAATTTGGAGTGTTACAACTATCCCCCACTTAAAAGAATTTTTGCCCTCCAAAATTACCTCAATGAAATAGGGTCCGATACGACTCTCTCATCTGATCCTCACGCTCCCAAGTCACGCTCCCTCCAGCTGGTCCTCCCCAAACTACCTTTACCAAGGAAATCTCTTTACCTCGCAGTTGCTTCACTTCTCGTTCATCAATTCGTATTGGCAATGGCTCAACAATTCGTATTGGCAATACTCTCGTTATTGTGTATGAACTGTTGTGTTCATTGTGTCACTCGAAGCTTGTAAGCAAGAGTGTGCGTTCTTGATCAAAACTGTGAAGCACGATCAAGGTGTGTTTGAAGTATAACTTCGAAAGTCTTTTTGTAATTTTGTATTGATATCACTGTTGTGTGATTGAGGGGGAGTGAGTGGGTATACTTAGGTCTAGAGGTCTCTAGGCTGAAGTGTCATTGGGTAGATTTTAAGTGAGGAGTGTAAACTGGAAGTTTAACTCTGAATTAATTCTACTGATAGTGAATTTCCTCCCTGGCTTGGTAGCCCCCAGATATAAGTTTTGTTGACACCGAACTGGGTAAACAATTATTGTGTTATTTACTACTTTCTATTAACTGCTTATTAGGAACTTCAGTAACCTATGTCATTGTGGATGTTATAGCATTAGTAATAACATCCGCTGGTGTGCACTTAGAATTTCACTTTGTTTAAGCATCTATCATGCGCCATTTTCATTGCATATTGAAGCCCTACCATTGTAGGCCATTTCTAGATTAATTAGAGACTCGCTCTTGATGTTTCGTGATTTATGCTTGAAACTTGTTGGCTTCGAATCTCCCTATTTATGGATGAAAAACGAAAGCAGAACCTAGATTAGTGATGTGCATAAGGAGAGGATCAATTTAGACTAAAAAATTACGCGTTTTGGTTATGTTGCACTTCTTCTTCTCCAGCGAGCCAACCAGAGAAGATGACCGGATTCTGGTGGACCACCGTCTGGTTTTAATACGGTGACATGCGTGTGCGCCATATGGACCATTAGATCCTTTGACTGGTTTTAAAATGCATGGTTGTGATTGAGTTTTGATTTTTGTTGACTTGTTGACTTCCAAACTTAAATGGAACGGAGCGTTTTGCTCCTCAACCTGAGTTGGGTCAATTAGGCTCAAACTTCTATTAGCACCCTCTCTGAACATGGCCCAACCAAATGAACTGATTCTGATTGCTATTTGCCACACACTTTTTCCATTTTTCTTTTCCTTTATTTCTTTTTTCCATTTTATTATCTGTTTGATTTTAATTCAATTAAAATACCTCAAATGACCTAAAAATCTTGAAAAAATACTTTTTAAACATTTTGGGATGTTAACTAATTTTAGGAATTTTCACTTTATTTTTTTGGGTTATTTTTCAATTAAAAATAGATTTTTACATTTGAGGTGATTTAATTGGTTTGAAATTGATCATTGTTTGTTCTTGATTTTATTTCTTGATAAATTTCCATGTCAATGGCTGATTTTTCTTCCTCATATTCTTGCTATGTTAAGGAAATTTTGTGGACTGTTTTGCCCCTGAGTTGGGGCATTTTGGTTAGGGTTTTAGGCTTTGTTTAGTAACCCCCTATTCATCTTGTCCATTTAGTGTACCCTTAGGGTTTTATTTCCTTTTGCACTGTTTTGGTATGACTTTGTCCTCAATGCTTTGGCCCCTGGTTTCTAGCACCTTTGGGGTCACTTAGGATTTTATTTGGTAATTTTTGAGCATGTTTCCCATTTTTAGTGCATTTTCCAAGATAGGTCCCCTCTTAATGATGTTTACACTAGTGTTTGTGTGTTTGGTTGCATTTTACTTTATGCATTCTCTATCTCTTCTTCTTTGCATTTCATGTACATGACTTGAGGTTGAGATGAGCTTGTGGAGGATTATGCCCCACACTATTTTCCTCCCTCATTATCATTATAAGTGTGCATTGATGTTTGCATGCTTGCATATTGCATATTTCACATGTTTATGCTTTATTCTTCTTCTTTTTCTTTTGTTTCTCTTCCCTTAGGATCTCTAATCATCCTTGTTTAAGGATGATTATGATTAGACATTAGGATCTAACCCATGTATGACAATATTAGGTAGCTTTCCCTAATCCTAACTTTAGGTACACTTTGCATGATAACTACTAGGTTTGAACTAGTCTCCCATTAGTGTCCTTTCTCTCTTCTCATCTTCAAACATCTCTAAAACACTTAATAAAGGTTAACGATTGTCGTGCGTTACGAGCCTTAAGTAATTGGGGAATAGTGATTGGGGGGATTCCTCTCAATTACTTAGAGTGTTTAGTATACGTCCTTATGACGATATGCGACGCATTCGCTCCTAAGTCATAGTCTCTAGTGCGACATGAGCTACAAACATTAAACTCAAATCACTTCTTCCTAAAAGACATCAAAAAACACTTTCAAACCCTTTTATCCTTCGGGATCTTAATGGAAAATCCTTTTCAGATAAAAAGAGTGTTGTTAAGCTTTGGTTCTACCGCAAACAAGCTTTGTCCCTAACTGCTAGAACGACTGTTTAACCCTACTCGGGTAAAAAACACTTAACCAACCAGTGGTCGAGTATAAGCCCAAACTACGTTTGCTCTGATTTCTCGTAACAGACGAGGATACGTAGGCACAAGATGACGATGTCTTGGCGAGCAACCTTTCCCCACTTTCACCCGTAGTTAGCCGAACTACGTTGACTCTGACTTTCCCATTGCACGAAGGAATACGTAGGCATAGAGTGGCGATGCTCTATCGAGTATGTTTTCTTTTCTTTTGTCCCTAAGCCTTTAGTTAGATAGTTTCAATCACCCTTTTAGATAAACAACACAAGCGTGGATCCCGTCGAGTACGACGAACGTGAGGGGTGTTAATACCTTCATATTGCGTAATCGACTCCCAAATCCAGGACTTGGTTGCGATGACCTTGTCTTTTCCCTTTTTCACTAGGTTTTCCCTGATCGTTTCCTTTCCCTCTTTTGGGATAAATAACGAACGGCGACGACTCTTCTGTCATTGCCAGCACCTTTTTTCGCAGTAGCGACACATGGCTGCCTCTCCCTTCATCGCTTCCAAACAACCTTCCTGAACCAGTAGGGCTTTCATCTTTAAGCGCCACAAATAAAAGTCGTTCACTCCGGTGAACTTTTCAATCTCATATTTTGTTGAAGGCGTCTTCTCCACGCTCACCGCACCAATTTGTTATGAATAGGATGCCTTAAAACAAAATATAAACGATTTCTTTATATTCAAGAAACACACAAGAGTTAGGGTTATCAAAGAAAGCAAGCAAGATGAACAAGAAGAAACAACAAGGATTGATTATAAACTGCTATTCTTTCCTTTATCTATCAAACAAGATTACAAGTATACAAGAATAACTATAACCTCTCTCTCTTGAATTAGGATTTTATCTTCCTATTTTTCCTTATACAAGATGAGAGACTAGCATACTCTTTATAAGAAAAAAATAGCACACTAACTTAATGAGCTTTTTATCAATTACTCATTACAAGCTAACTTAAACAATTGAGCTTACAACCAAGGTACAATTCAACATGCTAACAAACCTAGCAATATTGACTAATGCATGTTAGAACAAACTTCGACTACAACACGCATTACTCGCGAACAGACTTCGATAATACTAGAGTTCGATCCAATATCTCACAAAAAATATATGATATAAGAATTTAATTGAAATATAATGATATTTTACAATTAATAAAAACAACTAATTTTTTTTGAATTTTTGAATATTTATTTTAATTTTTTTAAAATAATACTACTTCTGTTCTTTTATAAGCAATAGTTTATTTTTTAGGTTTATTGAATAATCAATGTATTTGTTAATTTATAGACTAGATATATTAATTATTTAATAAATTTAAAAAGTGAGTTGTCTCTTATAAAAAATCTGAGGTAATACATTTCTATGATTACAGATGTATAAAACTTTTTGCATCGTAAATACAATTAAACTCATAATATAATTTTATCTATTAAACAAATATTTATATTGATAGACATGAAAGAACCACCACATTAAGAATATATAATTTTAAAAGAAACTAAAACATGCATTATTAATAGAAACTGATATTTTGCCAACTTAAAAATAATTTTAAAAGAAAGATGTATAATAGGATAGGTTAATGATTTTTTATTGAATTAATATTGCAAAAAAGCTAACTGATATGACGAGTTACATGACAACATCACATCCCCTTCTAATTTTTTTAAAGAAAAACAAGCAATTAGAATTTATTCATAACACTGAAATATTAAAAAAATGAAAATTTTCACTTCTCCTTCTTTTCATTTTCAAGATTAAATTTAACAATAGCCTTTTCCAACTGACTCCATTTCTGCTCCAATGTTCCAACATATCCAACCGACATCCTTACAAGTCCAGGTGTGATTCCAGCACGTTTTTGTTCCTCTTCATTCATCTCACTACTTGTGCTACTCCCAGAGCAAGAAATAAGGGTTTCATAGTACCCTAAACTAACAGCCATAAAACCAAATTGAGAATAGTTTTGCAAGTAGTTCATCACTTGGTTAGCCTTTGCCGCTGACCCCACATCAATGCAAAGAATCCCACCAAATCCATATTCCTTATTGCCTATGGATTTCAAAAGTTCGTGTTGTGGGTGGTCTTCTAATCCTGGGTAATGGACTTTGATTCCAAGTTTTTTGAGTCTGGTAGCATATTCCAATGCACGACGACTATGTTCTTTCATCCGAATGGCCAAATGTGGAATTCTTTCTGAAATTTCAAATGCTACCTTTGCATTCATTGTTGGACCTAACAGCATTATCCCACCTTGTTGAAGGTCCATCAAAGAATTCACAAAACTTTTAGACCCACACACCGCTCCTGTAAATTATCAAAATTAAAATTATTTATTATACATAATACATGCATGGTCTAAATTGCACTTCATAACTACAATTACAGTCACAATATTATTGATGCGGTAACCGCAGCTGCATCAAACCTCCATTATGAAATGAATTACAACTATAAATATCATTAAAAGTCACTTCACTTATATTTATTCAAATATTCGTATCAAAACTCAAAGTTTTCATAAACCTAAAACTCAATTTTCTTGAAATATTTTCATTAAAATTCAAAGATTTCATAAACCTAAAAGTCGATTTCCTTTTTTATGTAATAGAAAATATTTGCATAAAGTGCTTTTTTTACAATATATTTCAGAAACCTCCTAATTAAAATTCATTCCAACATCAAATGCAATTGCAAAACATATATCCCGACAATTTCAATTACTCCAATCACAACACTCGCAATTTAGACCATAACCACAATTTAAAACCATTATTATTGTGTGTGCACAAAAGTTTAAATTATCCATAGACCAAAATGAAATAATTATTGTATTTTATGGTAATTTTTTTAACCAGTCAACTTCTTTTTAATAACATAACATGAACGAGAATGGCTTAAATGTAGATAACTTTATGACTTTTAATAATAATTAAATACAAAAACGTAAGATGATTTTATTTGAAAGGAAATAGAGATAGAGGTAATTAAACCTGCAATAATGTCACCGCCACCACTGATAAACTTGGTAAGGCTGTGAACGACAACATCTGCTCCAAGACGAGCCGGAGAAATAACCATGGGCGCAAACGTGTTGTCAACCACCACAGTCACTCCCTTCTTGCGTCCAATTCTAACCAGCTCGGGAATATTCGCCACCTTCAAGCTTGGATTCGCTATAGATTCAAAATACAGCACTTTCGTCTTTCCTTCCACAATCGCATTCTCCACCGCTTCCAAATCGGAGATATCAAGAAAAGTTGCAGTTATGTTGCATGTCCTAGCAAGGAAATGCTCGATGAGCGAGTGGGTTCCACCATAGAGAGTACTAGAAGCCACCAAATGTCCGCCGCAATTCAAAAGCTGTAGCAAAACACATGCAATGGCGGACATCCCACTGGCAGTGCCATAGGCCGCCTCGGTGCCTTCCAGCGCTGCCAGCTTACGGCCGAGATTGAGGACGGTTGGGTTAAAATGACGGCTGTAAACATAGGAATCAGTATGGGGACCACGCTCTCCGACAAACATTTGTCGGAGATGGTCCGGCTCCATGACGGTGTATGTCGCGGATGGTTCAATCGACATGTTAACACCGCCGTGTTCGCCGAATTCATGGCGGACGTCTGCTAATGCGGCAGCTGGGTCCACGTTATGGTGGTCATTCCCATTGGCGAATTTGTAAAGCTTCTTCGCGTCTTTGCCCTCCGCAACGCAGTTTTCGTGGCTACGTTTGTTGTTATTGTTAGCATTAACATTAACAAACGTATCCGCCATTTTTTTCTTGAAATGAAAATCTAGAGAGAGATTAATGTTATGACAATTTGAAAATGCATGTTGGGTTAAACCTCTATTTATATAATTCTCGTAAATTAATGTTTCATTTTTACGTGATGAATCTAGACGCAATGTTTGTGTGATTCTTCCTCTTTTTCTGCGTTCACGAAATGGATCAATCTAAAATTAATTGCATGACTTGTATCCAATGGTTATTCACGGTGCGCAGCTATTGATAGTATTTGTTTTTGGTTGTATGTGAAACACGTGATACTCTAAATAGAGACACGCTATTTTAGAAAAACATTACATTATATTTATACCGTTTTAAATTTTTTATCAATATTAGAAATGTACTATTTTGTAATGGGTCAGGTATAAAGGGTTAATTTTAAAAGATTTTATAACTATGAGAATGTTGTTTCTTGGATATTGTTTGGAGATGGTTTTCTTAAGAAAGATTGTAATTAATGAATCATAATTTACAATGTACTTTAGTTGCAGAGTTTCATTTACTCATACTGGCATTTTTCAAAGTACATTCAAATTGGGTCAAAGTATGACTAGCAAGATTATTAGTCTGGCCTACATGAATTAAAGATGACATTCTTAACATAATTCCTAACCATTTTATTTTTTATTTTTCTATTTTTTGTCTCTGTCTTGTAAACTAGTATTGATTTTTCTCTTAGCCAAACTGAAACATTTTGTGCTTAAGAGGCCATTTTAAAGTAATTATCTCATTTTACAAATAATTAAGATTTTTATAAATATTATATTTTCTTGCCGCTGTAAAATTTTCTGTATTTTTTTTCTATTGATGGAAAAACCCATACAAATTTTACGTAAAACTAAATTAGCAACAGAAATCCATAAACTAAAACTTTTCAAATTTTTAGGAAACTAAAATAAAATATTTAAAGAAATCAATAAATAACTTTTTTTGTTTAATAATTTTCCTTTATTAAAAAATTTATAAATAATTAACCATTATTTTATAAAAAATACAAAAATGAAAAGAAAAATTGGCAAAATACATTTTTTAATCCCATAATTATATCATTGAATTGAGATTGATCGTGTTCTGGACTGGGCTGAACTGGCCCACCGCCGAGTACAGTCCAGTATAACTCTGCGTCGAAGAAAGACCAATATAGGCCAAATCCATCATAACTGCGGAGGGCACGTTCCCCGCGCGTTCTCCACGTTCTCCTCACACGAGGACACGTCACCAACTGAACCCATACCTTTTCATGCGGTAGTTTCGCCCTCAGTAACGAACTGATCCACTGCGAAGTTGTGCGGCAGTTGACTCAGGACGAAGACCATGTGCTGGTCTTCCCTACTTCCACGAGGATCCTGGCAATCATCCGTTGTATGTCTGACGATCCAGCCAACAGTAGATGACCATTGGCCTAGCGTTGGGGGCACATTATAAATACCCTCCTCCGAAGGAGGGTCAGATATTTTGAATTCATTCTCACTATGTACTTGCTCTTTCTCTCTCACTCTGAACCTAACTTTGACATCGGAGTGCCTTGCAGGTACACCCCTCCTCTTCTTCGTCACCAACGAATTTAGAGCTCACGACGTGTTGCTAGCCGTTGATTGTATTTCTGATCCCGGTAAGATCAATGGCGCCGTCTGTGGGAACCCTTTGCTCCCCCGTATTTTCTTTCTCTGAAACCTAAAGACCAAAGCAAAATTCAAAAAGCTACCAATCATCATGGCCAACCAACACGCCGACGACAACGTTCACGAAACTGCCTTCACCACATTCACTGTCGGTAGTGACCTCAACAACAATGTGATGACCGACGCTGAAGAGGGTGACCCTAGGGACGGACTCACCGCCTCTCCCTCCACCGACAATGCGGCCTACAACGTCGTCCAATACTTTGAGAGTCCGAAGGTTTTTCGACCAATTCCCGTGCCATCCAACGCCGATCCTACCACGATGGCCCTGTTTGGAGCAATCAACTCGACCAACTTCATGATTTTCCAGCAGAATTATTATACCCCAAATTTTATCCTTAAATTCTTTGATTTGTTGGATATTATCTTAAGTCAATCATCCATGCACAAGCTAACTTTTTATCAATTTTTGTCTGTTTTGTGAAGATAGGTTGCTGAAAAAGGTCCAAAAGACATGAAGACTTTGTGTGTGCTCTTTGTCTCTTACAAGTTGTGTTGAGTTCCTGTAGAAACATGTGCCCTTATTCTTATGGTCCCTTAGTCAATACAAGGTCATTTTCCTCAAGATTTCTTAGAGGTTTCCCTATGGAGGATTAGGGTTTTCTATCCATTGGGTTTGAGCATGGTCATTTGAGAACCGGTTGAAGTTTCGTGATGAGTTGCATTACAAGCAGTATCCTCATTTTTTTAAAGGATTTTTCAGGGGCATGGTTCATGTATCGAGTTCATCATCATATAAAACTTTTATTGAGCGGGTAGAAAAGGTCGAGCAAGACTTTATTCATGAAGTTGAATCATAGTTCATGTTTATTTTGATCTTAAAGAGAAAAGTTTGGATTTCCTTGTTGATGTTTCGAAGTGGTGAAGTTTGGATAAAGATTTGAATTGAGTTTAGGCGAGAACTTTTCAAAGTGAAGTTGAAGATTCATGTTCTTCATAAAGGTTTAAATTGATTCATTATCATTTTGCAAACTTCAAGTCATAATTCAAGCCTTACATCCAAGTTATAATTTCAAAGGGATTTTATGCATCCTTACAAGTTAAGGTCCAATTAAGATTACGCCATAAAACCATCACGAGAAGAATATTTTTATTCAAATTTAATCCAATAAGCGCAAGTTTTATCAAACTCAAGGTATAATGAAAAATTAAAAGAGTTTGAAAAATCAAAAGCCAATATGAAAGAGAAGACTATTTTGAATATTTAGAATTTATCACCAAGGTTCAAAGTTAATTCAAAGTGTTCATGAGCTTATAAAAATGATAATATGGAGAGGATAAAATTTGTTCTTGTTTTGAACTTTGGTGTTCAAGAAGTGTTGAAATAAATTTGATGAGACACTGACATCTTCCGACAATCAAAATGCAGAGATACATCGGGTGACACAATTGGAAACTGCGTATTAGTCTTAATAGAGGCATTGGAAGGATCCTCATGCTTCATAATAGGAAAACAACTTTGCATTCTTCACATAGGTTCCACTGGAAGCCAAAACCTTTTTGTTCATTGATGCAAACAATCGTGTAGCTGAGCAAGAAACTAAACCTCACTATAGGCCTTTTCCAAGATTTTTCCAGCTGACTCCAAAATGTCGAAGTTGCTTCATCGTTGTTCAAAATTTCATTACCACATATTTTCCCAAAGACAACTTGAACATTAAATTCAGCATTATCCAGTATTGGTCGACCTTTCGTCTCTTAGACTCTTGTTAACAGCAACATTTAAGACAACAACATCAAACATGTTTAGACAACATTCAAATTTATTCCAAAACAATTCACAAACATGTTCAAAGTAAAAAGGAAGGAAAATCAAACGTGTCTGGGCCTGCTCGATTAAAAATGGAAATTGCATTCAATACGATTATGATTTTAATTTATTTTAAAAAGCTTATAAAAGCAGGGACAAAAAGAGGGGAGCAAGGCATGATATCAGTATAAAAAAAAAATCATCACAAAAACATATACACATCAGTATAGATCAGAAAAAAGGAAGGATATATACACATCAAACCTCAGAGCAACAACAGAAAACAGCCACACACGGTTTAGAGGCAGAAATGTATTCACGAAGGTCATAGGAGGGAACATCATCAATACACACACGCGTTCTGCAGAAGATTCACAGAAGCATCACAACATAAAAATTCACGTATTTGCAGTAGGAAATGGAGAGCAGTGCATACAAATCACAAGCAGCAGCTAGCAAAAGAAGTCACAGTTTCTAAAAACGCAAGTAGCAAGTTCGAAATCATACCTTCGAGTAAGTTTCCAAGTATATTATTGTTTAAATCTTCTTCAATTTCTGCATTTCGAAGCGTTGCGATTCTGTTTGTTTTTGTTGGAATTTTAATTAATTAGAGTGGGAATTGGAAACATTTATTGACAATTAATGAGCAATAAATGAACACAAGTAATAACTAATATAGAAGTGAATTTGAAAAGATTCATTTTAGTCCCACATTGAAGGGAATGGAAATATTAGTAGTGTTTATATATTTCAACTTGGTAAATTGGGTTGGGCCCTAAAGGGCACCCAATTTTGTGAAAGGAGTGAGGACACACCCATGACCAACAAGACACAAACGCGCCCGCGCCGCCGCCGCCGCCGTCTGTCCGGCCGGCCGGCTCGGCTCGGCTCGGCTCGGTTCGATCTGGTCCGGTCTAGATGAATTATTTTTGGACCCGAATTTATATAATTTAATTATCATTAATTAATTAATATAATTCGGTGGAAAATTAATTAATAATAATATTAATTAATTAAGAAAATAATTGGTCATAACTGCCATACTGATTAGATCCAGTCCTCCACGATTTTCTCATTCTCCCACCATTTTCTCCACTCACCACGAATTTCTCCCCACTCAGGTGCAGGTAGCTGCCTATAAATACAGGGTAGAAATTCAGTAGTGAGTACATCGGATTTCACAAGTTCACACGAATTTTGATTTCCTTATTCTCTCCCTTATTTTCACCAGATACTTAGACAGGTGTATTTCTAGAGCGATTTATCAGTGTGCAACTGATAATCGTAAGTTTTTTGAACGGGTTGTTTTATCCTGGAGGCGTCGTCGTAAATCGACTGCTTTGCATAATTTGGCAGTACAGCGAAACGTCTTAAAGAAAGCGACCTAGTACGCAACTCGTCCCGATAATTTCCTTGTGCCAAACTCAATTTTTCAAATCCAAAAACAACAGTTTTGAATTAGAGAGACAATATTACGAAACTCTCTCCGTCGTTGCTGATTTGAAGCCATGGCGCGGCGGAGATCAGTTGTCGACGAAGTGATTGCGAGAGGGAG